TTCTCTCTCTCTTTCTTACTACTCTTTATTGCATTCAATTATTTAGTTTAAGTTGCTCTCTAGTTTAATCAACCAACCAACCATTCATTTGATTACTCGACCTACTAACCCTAATAGCGATTCCACAACCAAATTCGACTCCAATCCCTTGGGACGATCCCTCCTCGCCCTAACTAGATTTTTAGTGAAGGTAGTAGTGGCTTCTATATATGTAAAACTTGGCCTTCGCCTTAATGCACACTCTTAAGCTTGTGGTGCGGCGACACAGACCACCACCCTTTAATAAGGGAGTAAAAGCTTTTTACTTTCGTGCACTTATCCTTTATGCTTGCCCTGCTCTGTGGCTATGGTGGTAGTGACCCGTCAAATTTGAAGTGCATGTAACCAAGCTTGGTTCCCGGTAGAAGAAACTATCATTGGTGCTCGATGGTTAAAAACCTCATTGGAAATGGGACTACCTTGAACACGGTTAGTGGACTCATTGATTGCAGAAACTTCACTAGTGATGACTGTGTCATCTTTGTCATTTTTTCCGACATTCAAATTTTTATTTATTTATTCAATTGTTTAATTAATTATTTAATTATTAAATTATTTGATATATTCTTTTTTCGCGTTGCCATAGGGTTTTGTTGTGCCCGAGGAAGGCTTCTATGCTCGAAAACGATTTTCAGCACCACGTGCATTGCATTATATTATCTTTTACAGTCCATGCATGATTTAATTTCGTAGAAAAGTATGCTCATTTTATTTTATTTTCTGGGGGTATGGATGCATAATTTCTTCGGAAACATTTTTGTTTTTCGCGGTACTTTGTGTAATTATGTTTTTTAGGTATTTTGTCTTAGGGACTTCCATACAATTACTTTTGCTAGATATTTAGAGGAGGGACTATGTTGCAAATAGGGAAAAAGAGTGTCAAGTGTCACTCTCCCAATGGACCATTTGTTGACTTACCTTTAGATACACTTGGAAGCCTAGGATGGTGACAAGTGTAGGCCTGGATCAAACCTTATGAGGAGGCCAAGATGGGTGACAAGTGAAGGGTGGATGTGTGTTTGTGTGTATGTGTGAGAGAGAGAGAGGTAGTGTTGGTGTGTGTGTGTGTGTGTGTTTGGCTAACAAAGCTTAGGGTTAGTGGGAAAAGATGGGATTTTCTATCTTCCTCCCAAAGCCACCATTTCTCAATTTCGAACCCTCTACCTTGGGAATTTGGTCTTCCACTTCGAAGACTAAATCTTCTTCTTTTCCATATTTAGAACACCTTTTAACAGTTTTTCATTTTGATGTTGTTTGGCTTGTATTCTAAATGGACAAACCTCTGGTGAGCAGTTTGAGAAAAACCAGAAACCTTAGCCACCATTTCTAAAATTTCCCCCCTTCCCTTTTGAATTTGGTCTTCCACTTTGAAGATCAAATCTTATTCTCTTCTTGATTTAGAATACCTTTTCTCAGTTTTGCATTTTGAGTTCGTTTGCCTTGGATTCTAGAGGAACAATCCTCTAGTGAGGTAGAGGTTGTCCTATGTTTATACTCTTGTTGTTGTTTCTTGCTTCCCTTGTTGTTAATATACATTGTATGCATGTAGTATGATGTTCTAGGGTTGTATTAGATGAATATTGATTATATCTAACCTAGGGTGTCATTTTTATACAAGCCCTATATGTGATTATCCTCTTGTATTGTTGTTGTTTTACCTTGTAGATAATGAAATTCTAGTATTTCCTGTAGTTGTTACTAAGTTGTTCCAGAATTATTATTGTCATTATTTATGTTATGATATTTGACTATGTCATTGTATAAGTTAGGGGTTTAACGAATACCATGTTAGCATAATTAAAATTTCTATGTTGATTACCTTGAAATTGTGTTGTTGTAATCACCTTGTAAACTTGTTTATGTAATTGCCATTGAGATTTTAATGACTTGATTATGTATCTTTTGACTAGATTACATTGTTTTAGTGTTGCGACATTTTGATATATTTACTTTAAGTAAATCATAGTTTGTGTGTGCGCCACCTTGGCCTTAGGAGCATAGTGGTCATAGTTTGATTCACAAAGTTCATTGAGCATAAGTTGTGTGTGTATGGCATACACAACAAGTTTGAAGGATGGACGCCATCCAAGCATTGAAAATAGTGGACATCGAGTCCGGTGGATGGAAGGTCCCATGATACATTTGGCCAGTTGAGTGCAGAAGTGCACCGATCTTATCATCGTGTACAATAGGGTGTGTCAATACACCAATTGTTTTATATGCGGAATGGATCTCCTGTGATTCTAGTATGGATGTGCATCTCATTGCATCATGGAGTTGCATGCGTGAGCTATATCATAGTGGAGTCTATGTGCAAGTTGCATCGTAGTTTTAGGAATGGTGTACACCTTGTTATCCTATTAGCTTTGTGGTAGTTGTTCTTACAATATTGTCGTATTCTTCGATTTCCCATTTCGTTTTAAGTTGACATTACTTGAATTATAACTCACTGTTGATATTGAAAACACCATTATTGTTTATAATCTTTGCCTATTGTGGATTGTGTTTAAATTGTTTCAAATGTAGCTTTAGGATGACCCTTTAGCTCCACCTAGAAATTAGATGTTAGGAAACATGATCCATGTGTATCGGTTTATATTATACTTGCAAAGAATCGTTGGAAAATTAGGGTATACGCATGCGCTTCATCCTACGAGAAATTTCAAATTACTCACCCCTAGCTGATTGTGGGTTTTGCAGCCAAGGAGACACCTTTCTCGGATGCGAACCATCCATAGTTCGACTTGTGTTTACATTTCAAGTATCTTTTGTATACATTTATCATGCAAGTGTTAGCATGCTTAGTTACCTTTGATGTTGTAAAGTATAACTTGTTTTGAGGCTTGTTGCTTTCATTTGGAACATGTAATGTGTACCTAAGTACACTATTTTGGTTCTTCTTTAAATGCATGTAATGAGGCCAATGGCTATTTACTTTCAATAAATGCAAACTAGGACTTTTATTTCAAATGTTCATTTTGATGTTATAAATCATTGTTCATCGATTTTTTTTCGAGAACTGTGTCAACCGTTCCAAGACTTCTGGGGGTCTCTAGGGTGTATTTGAAGGTTACATATTCAATTTAGGTCTTAGGAAAACCTCTCGAAAACCCATTTCCTTTTATTTGGCAGCAACTCAGCCAATTAGCAGGCACCCGCAGCATTTGGCGTCCACACCCAATGCAACTCCAAGCTGCAGTTTTGACAGCTTTGACACCCCATTTTGTAACAGCCATAACTTGCTCATTTTAAGTCCAAATTAGGTGATTCTTGAGCCTAAATTCAAAGATTTTGAGTCCAATTTCCAATGGTGCCAATCTTATCTTCAGATTCATTTCCTACTGAGAGATATGACCGTTTTAGTGAAACATTATCGGGATTCATTCGAACCAGGTTAGGGTTTCCGTGGAATTTCACCTTCAATGACCTTAAAACTTCATGTGAGGTTACCAAATGATCTAATTGAGTTATTTTGATTTCATTTGACTTGTTAAAAGTCAAATTTCTTTCTCTTAGGGTAAAATGACCATTTGATGGTTTGAACAATTAAAATTATTATTAGAATATATTAATTTCTGTTACCCAAACAATTAAAATTATTAGAAGTTCATTCGATGTTTAGTTGATAGATGGTTTGAACTTAATTAGTACGACTGTCAATATGATTAAGATTTACTATAGATGGAAATGAGATACCACTGAATTAAGATGCCAACTGCCACAACTAAGTATAATTTTTCCTTTTTGTCCTTCGACTCATTGAAGTAGAAATGACTAAAGTTTCAATTTTGGGTATTTAAAATTCATTTGAGTTTATATTGAGCAGTTATATATATATATATATATATATATATATATATATATATGAATTCTTCATTAATTTCTTTTTTGTTTTGGAATTTTGTGACTTCATTTGAATATTAATTGATGTATTGTTCAACCATCGCCTAAATATGTACGAGGTAGTCTAACTTGTGGCTTACGAGGTAGTCTAACTTGTGGCTGCCTAGCTACTAGGACCATTTGATTTATGAATTTAGTTGTTTGTTATTGTTCACCCATGTATAATATAAAGACACGCCATGTCGACAATGGAATCAATTTCATACGGCAAAGACTTTGTCACAAGAGGTTCTTGATGATGTGGATCATGTGAGGCAATTAAAAAATTTAGCGGGAGGAAAGAACTGAATAAAGTTGATCATGTACCATATAGGATTGAGCTTTTGAACTACGATGAAGCTCTTCAACTTTTTAGTTGGCATGCCTTCATGAAGAACTATCCAGAAAAGGATTATGTGGAACTGTCATTGAGTGTAGTACGTTATGCCCAAGGCCTTCTGTTAGCTCTTCAAATTTTGGGTTCTTTATTATATAAAAGAAGTAAGCAGCTGTGGGAAAGTGAATTGGATAAATTAAAAAGAATCTCAAACAAAGAAATTCAAGATGTTCTTCGACTGAGTTTTGATGGCCTTAATGACACGGATCATAAGAATATATTTCTCGATATTGCATGTTTTTTCAATGGATGGGAAAAAGAATATGTTATGGATTTACTTTCCCCTCGCATTGGAATACATGTTCTTATCGAGCGGTCACTTCTAACTATCACGGATGACAGAAGATTGAGTATGCATAATATGATACAAGAAATGGGTAGAGAAATTGTTCGTGAAGAATTTTGTGATGGTAAACGCTGTAGGATGTGGTCTCTTAAAAATATCAATAAAGTAATCGGAGAGAATACGGTATGCTCTAACTACGTATAAGTTTTGGCAAGTAGTTTGCAAAAGATGACTTTGCTTTATATTCTTTTATACAATCACATTTAAAACTTGTATACATTTACTTTTAATTAGGTTTTAATGTAATTTGGTAACTTGCATCTTGTTCTTGGTAATCAGGCCACAGAAGCAATTGAAGGCATTATGCTAAACATGCCTCGTGGCGATCTATCACAGGAGTTAGTTGTAAATGCTGATGTCTTTGAAAAGATGAAGAAACTAAGACTGTTAAAACTTAGTGGGCCCGTACGGCTTTGTGGACAGCGTACATATCTGTCAAATGAATTACGTTATCTTGTTTGGGATGGTTATCCACTAGGTTTTCTGCCATCTAATTTCCATCCACAAAATCTTGTTGAACTTCAGCTTCCAAGTAGCCCTATCAAACAAATTTCAACTGCAATCAGCGTAAGACCATCACAGTTTTTTTAAGCACTTACTTACACATACACATGATTAGTACCGTTGAGTTTTTTGAAACTAATTTATTTGTTTCCTTCGCTTATTCTCTTTGCAGTCTTCAAATAAGTTAAAATCGCTTCGTCTTAGTTGCTGTCGATATTTGAAAGAAACTCCTGATTTGTCCAGTCTCCCATGTCTCGAGCGTTTACATCTTATGGAATGTGTAAATTTAGTTAAGGTTCACCTTTCCAGTGGAGTTCACAGCAGGCTTGGAAGAGTGCGTCTCGACGGATGTATAAAACTGAGTAATTTGCCAAGAAGCATTCAGTGGACAAATCTGGTAGAATTTCATTTATCAGGATGTGTAAAACTGGAGAATTTTCCAGAGATTCAAGGGGATATGGATCGTTTGGACAGACTTTACTTAGGGAATAGTGGAATAAACGGTTTACCATCATCATTTGAGCATCTTAGTGGGCTACAGGTATTAGATCTAACGGGGTGCCAAAAGCTTAAAAATGTTCCAAACAACATTTTTTGTAGAATGAAGCGTTTACATTCCCTTTATATGGAAAGAGTTGCTATGACACAGTTACCATCATCCATTGAACACTTGAGTAAACTTGGAATACTTTATTTCTCTCATTTTCAAAAACAATATACCAAGCATACCAAGCATTTCCAGATGCCATTTTCATTTTTGGGAAAGAGAAAAAGAGGCAATTCAACTTATTTGCATCTGGAAATGCTCTCCGGTTTGTGCAATGTAACTCGTTTACAACTCAGTAACTGCAATTTATCAGAAGAATCTTTTCCGAATGATATTAGCAGCCTTTCCTTTTTGAAATATTTAGATGTGAGTGAAAACAATTTCGTTCACATACCAGCAAGTTTCATTCAACTCAGGAAACTTGGCTGGATTGATTTGGAACATTGCAGAAGCCTCCGAACGTTGACGTCACTTCCGCCATCCATAAGATATGTGAATGCACATGGTTGCGAATCATTGGAACGGTATTGGATTCCAAGTAGTGAAAAAAGTCCAGACAAACGGATATTCATATTCAGTGAGTGCCACAAATTGGTTATGGATGAGAGGAACAACATGCCAAGTATATCACCAGAAAGTCAGCCCCAGGTTCCACCTATCTCTTTTGATATATATATATATATGAGGAATAACATGCCAAATATATATATAATATATATGATCTATATATGTTTTATGCAACAGGAAAATTTTGGAATCATTTATCCAGCAACTGAGATTCCGCATTGGTGCAGCCATAAGATTGAGGAGGAAGAACGTTTCAAAGAAGGAAGTGGGTTTCAAAGGAGGAAGTATATTGGGGATCATTACAACAATGTCAAAGGAATCTTCGTCTGTGCTGTCTGTGTTGATGTTTCGAAATTTGCTAATGAGCTCTCAAGATCAGTGCTTATTGAGCTGAAAATCAATGGTTATCCCTTGCCGGATCTGGGTTTCTCCTTTGAGAATTTGTCAAACCAAGCAGCAATTTTTACACACACAGCAGAATATTACGATATGGATGAAAAGGACTTTCGACCAATTATAAATTTGATGAAGAAGAAACCAAAGCTCAGCGAAGGCCCTCCCAATATTTGTGATGATAGCTGCTGCATTGAGGCTACAATTCGCTTTCAAAATATGAATGTCAAGAAATGGGGTATCCATATAGTAATGGAGTCAGAGCAAGCTAAGACGTCAGAGCAAGGTGAGTAGTCCCAGTGATATTCAGTAATTATTATGTAAATTAAATTTTCAAAACTCAATCCTTAGAATCACACCAACAACCAACATCTTTAGCTATCATGATTTTTCCAAAAGATTACTATTTATAAATTAAAGAGATTTAGAACAAGATCCCACTTTTCACTAGGGTTAATGTGTGGGTCTTCTTTATGTTTTATTCAATTGACTTCGATTCCATCCAATATAGGTTCCTGTCGAATGGGAAGTGAAGATGAAAAGAAAATTGAATTAATAGTCTCTCCCTGACTCCAGTCTCCCAGCATGGAAATTTTGGCTCAGAATCCAAAGTAAGAAATTCGTTTCTATTCATTTCATCTTATGTTATTTCATGTTTTGGGTTTTTGATTTCTTTGATTTTAAACTTTCTGGAGAATATTATAATATTATCAGGACTTATAATTACGTATTTTTGTAACTTTCTGGGTTTGAACTTGATTTGGGGGACTTTTCTGGCATTTAGGAATACCCAGAATTTTGATTTCTTATATTTGCACCATTAGATTGATAATTTAGGCACATATCCTATGGACATTCACGATTTTTGTCTACTTTTACTTCTTATTGCAATACGGGGCATTACAATTATTTATTATTATTATCATTTTATGTTTTGTTATATTGGGATTGTATTATGATTTTTTTTTTTTTTTTTTTTTTTTTTTTTTTTTAGTGACATACGTATTTAAAGATGTATATCTTTTACAGCTTTATGTCACGGACCTAGAGATTTGGCGCAGCGGCACGGCCCGTGCGGCACCAAGGCGTTGCTTCAGCTAGCGCAAGCGCCCTGGTCAGCCACCACGACCTGCCCTCCAAATGATCCATGCTGACTGGTTTCGGCCTGCCTTGGCCTTGTCATGGGAACAACTCCAGCTCCTGACCAGTTTGTGCAGAGATGGCCAACTCCCTTCTTCATAGTCAAGTCCACGACCAGCGACAAGCACCTCGCATTGAACCGAGTCAACCTGCCTAAACTCTAAAGAGGTACCATCATGTGATCCTGCACGCCCCTTCCCTGGAACCATTCCGAGTCAATGAATGTTCTTAGCCAACCAGCATGCGTGTCTTCTATATTCATGGCGTCGTTAGGAATCGGAACGTGACATTTAATAAACTTCTTTTTTTCAGAAGGAAAACAGGGGAAAATCTTGTATTTCCATGTTTTTGTGAAAACAATAAACTACAATAGTGCTACTTGAGTATCAAATTGAAAAAAAATTTAACGTCCAATTCTTAGATGCTCTTGTTTCATGTGCCAAGTGCTGCTTCATCTTCCATGTGTGCGATGTTGAAGGTCCTAAGTTCAATTTCATGGTGCTTAACATTTCCTTCCTTATTTATTTATTTTATTTTTTGTTTTTATTTATTATCATATTATTTTGTTTACATTATTACTAATTTTTTTTTATTTTTATCATTGTTGTTGATCCTCTTGTTTTGTTTTGTCTGAAATTATTTATTGGGATAGTTTCTTGGAGTTCGTTTTTTAATCTTCAGGGCTTTTTATCTCAATTGCTATTCTAGAAGCATGAGAGAAAGGCTTTGTTAATTTGTGTTGAAGCTTTGAAGGCAATTTCTCTGTGATTAAATTATGGATTTTTTTATATTATTTTTTTTGATAACAAATAAAACCTACACAAAAAAAGTACAAATGGAAAAAGAAAAGAAAAAAGGGGAAAGAATTAATCATTCAGGAAGATACTTGGGTGTGTATTTCTGACGGCAGAGTAGACCTGGTCTTGATTTTTTTAAATATGATAAGCGTTGCTTGCAATATCCTAGGTGGTGATCGCTTTGAGTTATTTTGTTTCCAGTTACTATAACACTTATAAAAGGGTTCTTTTCTTTCTCCCTTTAAAAACTCTCTTTATTAAGGGGCACATTTCTTTCTCACGCCCTCTTTCTCTCTCTAAACTCTTTCTAAATTTTTTTGGCCGCTATGTAATTCTTCCATGTGCTTGATTGACGTTTTCGATGCCGTATGTTTTTGTTGAGAAGATTGAGAGTGAAATTGATAAGATTCGGAAGTTTTGGTTAAGTTTTCGAAAATTATTTTTCTCCGTAAAAGAATTTTTTTTTTTTTTTTTTTAGGACTACCAAACAAACACCATAAAACAAGAAAATATTTTTCAGAAAATATTTTAAGTTCAAACAAATAGAGCCAAAGTGAATACGGAGATTTAAGGGTAAGTTTTGTTCTTAATGCTAACTTCGTATTAAAGACATGCTCTGTGCAGCTTGCCATTGTAATCAATGATCAGTGAATTTTTTTGAATGAATAAGTTAAGGCTTCTAATGAAAATCCTTTTACCCTTTGTTTGTGTTCAGGTTTAATTCTATTCTCGTAAGTTTCTTTTACTGCAGAGCTTGGTGTTTATTTCTCTGCATCCCACATCAAGGTATAGCAATTGTTCTGCTCTGTACCAAGTTAGTATAAGAACAACTTGTTTCTGGTAAGACATGGAGATATAGAAAACATTTGAGTAGCTTTATATGTTCTTGTATATATACATTTTCATGGAGTTCTTTAGATCAATTTGTATATGTTCCAATTAAGATTTGTGTGTTTTAGCTGCAGGAATCACAATTGTAAAATCCGTAATGCCTCTGTTGTATGTATTTGGATGGGACACCAAAAAAACATGCCTCATGCACTGCACTTTTTGAATAAATATCCAAGTAAGAACTGGAGTGCTCGAGGCTTTTTCTGGGTAATGCCAATATTATCTCCCATAATTAATCACTGATTTTTTTTATTTTTTTTATTTTTTCAACTCAATCCTTAAACTATAAAAATATTGCATATATCCCTCAGGGTAGTGTACTTTCCAAGAGTTAGAGAGTCACGTTACTTCATATTTGCATTTAATGATTAAAATACCCTTGCATATGATAGTTGTACCTCCCATTCTGCCTCATTTATTTATATTACCAACTTTAAATCCCAAAAAAATTTCCATAATTATAAATATCTATTCCTGTATTATTATTATTAAATATGCAAAGTGTTTCAGTGTTTCAATATTTCAGTATTTATTTATTAATTGATATAAATTTTATAAAACTCAAAATTACTTAATAAAATTAAAATTAATTCAAATTAACAAAATATAAAAATAGTTTAAGTCAAATTACAAAATCCCCCCATTAGTATTAAGTAAAAATGATTATATGAAACCTCTTATAAAACTAAAGAGTTAAAGAAATAATAATCATATCTTTTCGGCCATTTGGCTAAGATCAAGTGTAATACTAAATTTTTTTGGGTCGGCCTTTTGGCTAACCTTTCTTAGTCTTTTGGCTAAGATCAAGTGTAATACTACTTTCTGCACCTTTGTGCAAAAGAGTTCAGTATTTATTTATTAATTGATATAAATTTTATAAAACTCAAAATTACCTAATAAAATACAAATTAATTCAAATTAACAAAATATAAAAGAGTTTAATTCACAATAAAGAGTTCTCATTAATTATTATATCCCACGATATAAATTCTATATCTATATCTATTATTAAATGTGCAAAGTATTTCAGTATTTATTTATTAATTGATATAAATTCTATAAAACTCAAAATTACCTAATAAAATTAAAATTAATTCAAATTAACAAAATATAAAAATAATTTAATTCAAATTATAAAATCCCACATTGGTTTTAAGTAAAAATGATTACATAAAAGCCTCTTATAAAACTATAGAACTAAAGAAATAATAATCACACCTTCTCAGCCTTTTGGCTAAGATCAAGTGTAGTACTAATTTTTTTTGAGTCGGCCTTTCGGCTAACCTTTCTTAGTCTTTTCGCTAAGATCAAGTGTAGTACTACTTTCTTGGTCTTTGTGCAAAGAGTTTCAATTTTTATTTATTAATTGATATAAATTTTATAAAACTCAAAATTACCTAACAAAATTCAAATTAATTCAAATTAACAAAATATAAAAGAGTTTAATTCACAATAAAGAGCTCTCATTAATTATTATATCCCGCGATATAAATTCTATATCTATACTATTATTAAATGTGCAAAGTGTTTCAGTATTTATTTATTAATTGATATAAATTTTATAAAACTCAAAATTACCAATAAAATTAAAATTAATTCAAATTAACAAAATATAAAAAGAGTTTAATTCAAATTACAAAATCTCACATTGGTTTTAAGGAAAAAAGATTATATGAAAGTCTCTTATAAAACTATAGAGCTAAAGAAATAATAATCACACCTCGGCCTTTTGGCTAAGATCAAGTGTAGTACTAAATTTTTTTGGGTTGACCTTTTGGCTAACCTTTCTTGGTCTTTTGGCTAAGATCAAGTGTAATACTACTTTCTCGGCCTTTGTGCAAAGAGTTTTACTATTTATTTATTAATTAATATAAATTTTATGAAACTCAAAATTACCTAATAAAATTCAAATTAACAAAATATAAAAGAGTTTAATTCACAATAAAAGAGCTCTTATTAATTTTATATCCCACTATAAAAATTCTATAAAACTCAAAATTACATAATAAAATTAAAATTAATTCAAATTAACAAAATATAAAAAGAGTTTAATTCAAATTACACAGTCTTTCATTGGTTTTAAGTAAAAAGGATTACATAAAAGCCTTTTATAAAAGTTTCAGTGTTTCAGTATTTATTTATTAATTGATATAAATTCTATAAAACTCAAAATTACCTAATAAAATTAAAAATAAAATTAATTCAAGTTAACAAAATATAAAAAAAAAGAAGTTTAATTCAAATTACAAAGTCCCACATTGGTTTTAAGTAAAAATGATTATATGAAAGTTTCTTATAAAACTATAGAGTTAAAGAAATAATAATTACACCTTCTCGGCCTTTTGGTTAAGATCAAGTGTAGTACTAAATTTTTTTGGGTCGACCTTTTGGCTAACCTTTCTTGGTCTTTTGGTTAAGATCAAGTGTAGTACTACTTTCTCGGCCTTTGTGCAAAGAGTTTCAGTATTTATTTATTAATTGATATAAATTCTATAAAACTCAAAATTAATATAAAAGAGTTTAATTCGCAATAAAGAGCTCTCATTAATTATTATATCCCACGATAAAAATTCTATAAAACTCAAAATTACCTAATAAAATTAAAATTAATTCAAATTAACAAAATATAAAAAGAATTTAATTTAAATTATAAAGTCCCACATTGGTTTTAAGTAAAAAAAAATTACATGAAAGCCTCTTATAAAATTATAGAGCTAAGGAAATAATAATCACACCTTCTCGGCCTTTTGACTAAGATCAAATGTAGTACTAAATTTTTTTGGGTCACCTTTTGGCTAACCTTTCTTGGTCTTTTGGCTAAGATCAAGTGTAGTACTACTTTCTCGGCCTTTGTGCAAAGAATTTCAGTATTTATTTATCAATTGATATAAATTTTATAAAACTCAAAATTATCTAATAAAATTCAAAATATAAAAGAGTTTAATTCACAAAAAAGAGCTCTCATTAATTATTATATCCCACGATATAAATTTTATAAAACTCAAAATTACCTAATAAAATTAAAATTAATTCAAATTAACAAAATATAAAAAGAGTTTAATTCAAATTACAAAGTTCCACATTGGTTTTAAGTAAAAATGATACATGATAGCCTCTTATAAAACTATATAGCTAAATAAATAATAATCACACTTTCTCGGCCTTTTGGCTAAGATCAAGTGTAATACTAAATTTTACAGTATACTACTCACACAAAATATAATAAATTCAAATTATATTATATTACTTACACAAAATATAATAACAGTAATTACCTAATAAAATTCAAATTAAAAAATTATATTATACTACTCTCATTAATTATTAAAATTCCAATTAACAAATTATATTATACTACTCTCATTAATTATTATATCACATGATTGTAGCAGGAAGGGATTCAAAACCTAAACCAAACCTAAATGGACCAAATAATTCTTTCCACACTTGAGAACAAACATATTTAAATTAAGTACCATATTTGATCTGAACATTTCGGAATAGCTTTAGAGTTACTGTTGAAAATTCAACTTATAATCAATTTTGCTTGACCAAATGGTCCATATATTAAATTATTTGTCAATTTTCATATTTTTTATTTAATAAAATCCTTGATGTAAATGAGTCATGAGTTTATTGTTGTAAGCCACACTAAAAATGATATATTGGAAAACAAAATTTATACATCAAACGACAGAGACCAACCAATATGCAATAACCAACCATGCAGGAAAAGCAAAATACAACACAACCTCTCCTAATTTGAGAACCCCCAAAGCTCTGAAACTTACCACATGCTTCCACGGTAAAAAATTACTAAATTATAATAATAGTAATTACTTAATAAAATTCTAATTAACAAAATATAAAAATAGTTTAATTCACAATTCAAATTATACTATACTACTCTCATTAATAAAAACCTATTCATAAAAAGAGTTTAATTCACAATAAAGAGTTTATTTATTATATCTCACAATCAATAAAGAGTTTAATTAAAATTCAAATTATACTAAAATTCAAAACATATAATAATTAATTTTTCTAATAAAATATTTATTAATTGATATGTAAAATAAAATAATTTTTTTAAAACTCTAACACAAATTAGCTTTTATTATGAGTTTCTTAATAAAATTAAATCTAATTAGACAATAATATATTTAAAGAAAATAAAATAATTTCTATAAAACTCGATGGATCTATAAGAATTCACCTATCCCAATAACAAAAAAACCTGACTTGAATGATCCTGTATTAAGAGCTAAATTGGCTAAAGGGATGGGTCATAATTATTACGGAGAGCCCGCATGGCCCAATGATCTTTTATATATTTTTCCAGTAGTAATTCTAGGTACTATTGCATGTAACGTGGGCTTAGCGGTTCTAGAACCATCAATGATTGGTGAACCAGCAGATCCATTTGCAACCTATCACAAATTACTTATTTTATTTTCAATAAAACTCTATCATACTAGACAAAGATATATTTAAAGAGTTTCTATAAAACTCCAACACAAATTACCTATTTATTTATTTATTGTGAGTTTTTTAATAAAAGAAATCTAATTAGACAAGTATTATTAATGTAAAAAATTATTTATTAATTGATATAAAAAGAGGTTCAAAAATTTTCTATAAAACTCTAACACAAATTACCTATTTATCTATTTATTATGAGTTTTTTTTTAATAAAAGTAAATCTAATTAGAGAAGAATTATTAAAATAAAAAATATTTATTAATTGATATAAAAATAATTTTTAAAAGAGTTTATATTAAACTCTAACACAAATGACTTATTTATTTATTTATTATAAGTTTTAAATAAAAGAA